AAATATAATGAAATAAAAGTAATCGCAATTAATTTAGGTAAAATTACATGTGGTTTATAAAATAATCAGTCGAGAATGGGGTGAGTTGTGGTAGATCAGGTCGAGCAGAGTACACATGCCTTCCCTGCCTCGCCTACGAGATGGGGATCATCTGCTCCAAAACGGGCCAAACAGGTTGGGTAAAACATATCAATTCAAAATTACACCATCCTACTATCTATTCATATTGTGCAGAAAAGACATTAAGGATAAATTACAAGGATTGAAAACTGTACCATATCGATAGAGAAAACCTTTTGTCGGAATCTAAATCAATAGGCGTGTTAGTGATGTAAAAGGGTTGAACCACAATTTCGGCATTACATACTCTGTGGCAAAGTTTTCCGGCACAACCTCGGGGACAAGTCTACAATTATAAATTTTTAATTTACCATGTACAAATGAGAACAAATTTAGTTCCAATGCGGTTGGTTGCGGAAGCGCGACCTTAATTGTGTGGACACATCCCAATCCCACCATGTATTGGCTAGGTGGCCACATAAAGAATGTGACATGTATGTTTAGCTCTTTAATACCCCAACAAAAAAAAAACAAAAAAAAAGGAAGATAAAGAAAGCAATAAAATGAGCAAATAAGAATATACAGTGCCACAAAATGTTGTTTATGCTCTAGAAAGGTGTTCCTTGGCAGTCAATCTATTGAGACACCTACCTGTTGTTTACCTCTTTCACTCTTGAGGTTGAAAGATTTGATAACAACTGTAGCAAAGAAAGTACGCTTTGAAGGATAAATGCCACATTTGGTCATTGAGATTACTAAATCGTAAATCGTGTCATGTTTAGTCATTAGAAAATTTTAATATCAATTTTGGTCACTCGAATTGCTAAAACAAGTCACATTTCGTCACTCTCCCGTTAGTTTCCGTCCAACTTCATTAATGGAGTTGGACGGAAACTTACGGGAGAGTGACTAAATTTGACATGTTTCGGTAATTCGAGTGACTAAATGTGACACGTTTCAGTAATTCGAGTGACCATAGTTGGATGGAGGCTAATGGGAGAGTGACTAAATGTGACATATTTTAGTAATTCGAGTGACCAAAATTGATATTAAATTTTCTAGTGACTAAACATGACACAATTTAGTAATCTCAGTGACCAAATGTGGCATTTACCCGTGCTTTGAATGTTGTTCATGATTGGTGGTGGTTTGGAGTAGTGTGAAGTGTGGTTTTTGGCCGATGCTAGTGGCCATTGCTCGTAAAAGAAGGTTCTATTCGAAATGATAGAACCTTGTGTTGGTTTTAGGTTGAAGATGTGGAACCTCATGCTATGTTTGCCACCATCCAAAAAGTCTTTTCCCCATGTCCAAAATCCTAGCCAGTCATTTGAACCTGTGTCTAAGAACTCCGGACAAGCTAGTGATGACACCCATCTTGAGAGATCTAGCATTTAGAGGTTACCGTCATAGTGAAGAGACAATCAGGCTAGAGTATGCACATCTTTTGCATCAAAATGATCCTGGCCCCTCTGGTCGAGAGTGAGTGATTCATTCATCTTATTTTGTTAATATCATATCCCAGTGAGGTTACCGTCATAGTGAAGAGACAATCAGGCTAATGTTAAGTATGCACATCTTTTGCATCAAAATGATCATGACCCCTCTGGTCGAGAGTGAGTGATTCATTCATCTTATATTGTTAATATCATACCCCGGTGAGGACCTAGTTTGCTCATTCATATAACATGTAATATACGATGTTGAGATTGAACTCACATCATCAGTATGACACTCCATATCACATGTAAATAAAATTGTACGTTGTATGATTACGTGATTGGCTAGTGATACAACCTTGATGTGTTCCATTACGAGGAAGAGGTGCTTTGTATTTGTTGGAAACAAAACCAATAGCAGGATATAGAAAGATGACGAACTTAGAATAATAAAGTTTAATATAGGTGTTTGACTTGTTCTAACTAAACATCCAATCGACGGCCAAGTATAACCGTCGACCGGGTGTAGCATAGGGCAAGAAAGCAATAAGAATTTATCATAACACGGGGATCTAGGCTTACCCTACTTCAGGTTCAGGGTTCGTTGTCTATCCAATCCTAGGATAGTGATTAATAAAACTAAGCTAACTAACCTAGTGTAACCACTAACCTAGCTATTTACAAGGTTTGGAGCTCTCTTGGGTTAAATACCCCTATTTCCGACCTTTGTATCAATATTGAGTATCCCTCTAGTTCGATTGACTCAAATAATCTACCATTTGGAGAAGGACTCCCTCACGAACGACCCGGAACGGCAAATTAGTGGATGGGTAGTGCTCTATTCAACCTAGGGTATCGTATAATGCTAGGACCGGTCGAATCAACTTCCTCGGGGACTACCCAAACAATATACGATAGGAGTGACCCGAAGACGCCAAGGAAGGGGCTCTAAGGGGATTATCCCACTCCTAGGTCAAAAGCTCAAAGCATGAAAATGGAAACCACACTCATGCCAATCATGAAAACATCCATCAATTAAGTAAAATCATCAATCAAACATGGAATTTGTCACATACATCAAAATAAAAACCCAAATCTAGACCTATGGCATTTAAACCCAAGAGAAGAGGGTGAGTTTCTAGAGAGAGAGAGAGAAGAGAGTTTACAAAGAAACCGCTAGATCTTCATCTTCTTCTTCTAGGCTTGATTCCTAGCTTCCAAGCTTGATCAATGCCTTCAATTAAGCTCCAAGATCACTCTCTCTCTCTCTCTCTCACTAGAACTCCCCTATGGTGTTTTGGGTTGAAACCCTAGAGAAAGAAAGTGTTCCTTCTCCAAAACCAGCTCCCATTTCTCTCTCCCTGCTGATGTCTTCATATTTGCCCGAAAGTGACCAGTTCACGGCCGCGTTGCGCAGTTCACGGCCCCGTTGCGCAGTTCACGGCTGCGTTGCCCAGTTCACGGTCGTGAACACCTAAACGCATCCGTGAACTCAGTGTCGTCTCCAAAACGCACCACTTCACTCTCCTGGGTTCACAGTTTGTGCTCCAGGTTCACGGTCTTAGAGACCGCGAACTGCTTTGGCGTTAGTAACTGCTGGAACCTCGCTGGACGCCTCGATGTTCATGGTTTGTGGCTCCAGTTCATGGCCTTAGAGACCGTGAACTCCAATGCCAGGCCTTGAACTGCGGCGGCTTCCGGGACGCCTGCGCTTCACTGTTACGGGGCAATTGTCACGGTCTGGCGCTTTTTGACCTTGGACTTTGGATTTTGGACTTTTCTTCGGTTTTTGCGCTTTTTGACCTCCAATCGTCTCAAACTCGTCCTCGACCCTTCCACGCATGCTATGACCTGAAATGTAACAAAACAAGCACAACCTAGCGTGAAATATGTCGAGGGATGGTGATCAACTATGCATAACGGACAAGAAATGAGGGGTAAAATGTCTACATTTAGACCCGAATCAGTGTTATTTTACATTTTGATTTTTCAACCATTAGCCAAATCAACGCGTGAGTCCTCCCGCAACCGTTTCTTTTTTTTTTCTTTTATTCTTTTGTGTATTTTTTTTATATCTATTTTGATTTGTTTTATGTTATTTTAGTTTTGGAAATAGTATACGAACAAAATAACGGTCATAAAAAACAGATAATGATCTATCTACAAATTGTTCTTCTCATATGATGAGCTAATGGAATAAGTGGAAGGAGGTTTTAGAGGTGTTGAATATAGAGGCAATGAAAATTTGTTATTTATGAAGGTCATTTGCGATAGAAAAATGAGGAAAAATGATAATATGGTAAAACTTTAAGACAAAAAAATGATCATATGGTACACAAAAAGATAAAAAGTGATAATAAAATAACGGTCCAAAAAATGGTCATATTTTTTCATGAAAAAATTGTGTCCGAATAAAAAAGATTACATTAGCAAATTTGTTTCAAAAGTAAGAAAAAATTAAAGTGAAGAAAAAAGTAGGATGCATTTAAGTACAGTTTAGTGAAAAAGGAAATAAAGCGGAGGCTAAATTTGAAATGTGATATGGTTGGAGTAGAAATGTGAGTTTGAGCCTTGAGGGCGTACAAGTGTATTTTTAGTAAAATGAGTGTATATTTACTTCTCATGGTTGCAAACAATCTAACCTGCCACATCATCATTTATGGAAGATTTTTAAATATTTTCCCCGAAAAATATGTCGTATATAAAGAAAAAGTTTTGAAGATTAACATAAGCTAGTCTCCGATCAAGCGGAAAAGGATCTGCTGGCTTTCTGGAGCAGAGCTTCCTTGCTCGTAGCTAGGACGGAGCTGGCGAGTGAGGATCGGCAGAGGGGTAGAGATCTCCATGTTGTCACGAATGACTTGTTTGGAAAAATACCAACCGAGGTTGATTCTGATAGTGAGAATTGGAAGACAAAACCTAAGGGCGGTTGAGAGGGGCATTAAATGAAACAACAATAAGCAATCCTAAAAAGAAAGTGGATTGATCGCCTTTCACTCGAAGTAAAGCAGGTTTCCTCGAATGACTAAATGAAATGGACTTTATTGCATCTGCTCCAGTCTCTCTATCTTAGAGATCCATGCTTAAGTCGACCTCTATCCCATCTCAAAGGCATTTTAGGTTCACCCTCTATTAATAATTTGGGTTAATATTTTCGTATGGCCTGAACTTTGACCAAAGTAAACATCCTGGCCAATCTTTTAGATCTATAACATTATGGCCCGAACTATACACCAAAGTAAACAATTTGGCCAAATCAGACTGTTGACCGTTAACTTCGACGGTCAAACGCGTTGACTAACGGTCAACGCGCCATGTCACCGCCAACTCAGCAAAAAAAAAAAAAAAATTTAATTACCACCTAGCCCATTTAATTTCCACCTATTAGGTATTTTCTTAATTTGAAGACGAAAAAAAAAAATCCCACAAAACGCAGCGGGTTTACCCTAACCCTACCTTATCCATATCGTTCCCATCTCCATCCACAGAAATCACCCGCCGACCTCACCTCACCTCACCTCACCTTCTCCTTCCTTCATCGTCGAATCACCTCACCGACTGAAAAATGCAGCGGCGGGCGTTCTTCTGAGCCCGCCGCCGCCGCCATCGATCTCACCCTTCTCCCTTCTACCTTCGCCCAGATTTCCCCCCTCCTCCTTCGCGATTTCTGATCCCTCGCGATTTCTCGCGATTTCTTTCTTCTCTCTGTGCATCGATAACGACCTGGTGAAAAGGACGACGACGGGTCCACATTTCAAAGGGACCATAGCCAACAGATCGCATTCCCCACCAGCAACGTAAGCAATCGATCCCTTTCTTCTCTCCATTTCCATTCTTTTTTAATCCTCGCTAAAATCCAAGGATTAGGGTTTTCTAGTAAACTGAGATTAAAGTAATGGAAACTGAGATTAAAGTAATGGAAACTGCGATTAAACTAATGAAAACTGAGATTAAAGTAATGGAAACTGAGATTAAACTAATCTCGTATCATTTTTTTTTGTCTTTGCTAGAATGGACGATATGGTTGAGCTTATTCTGCATCATGGAGGCGCGATGAATATGTCGGGGGGTGTTCCACAGTACGTTGGGGGGGTTGTCGATGTCGTCAATGTGAATCGTGACTCTTTTGCTAGGTTGTCAGAATCAAAACTTATGCCACACCAACGATTCTGCCTTATTTTGTACATGCTGTACATGCTAGGACATGTTAAAAGCATCTAGTGACTCTTTTGCTAGGTACTCAGAATCCCAACTTATGGCACATCCTGTTGATTAATCCTTATTTTGTACATGCTACTGCTATGACATGTTATAATGATGGTGATTGCAAGTTTGGTTGATGTACTGACTCGGTTAAAACGAAACGCTTTATTCAATCTCCACTACAAACACCATTCCTCTTCCTCATGAAATCTCCATTACATACGAAGTGGTCCACACACGATTACAACAACGACTACGAATAGCACACAAAAACAGCATAAATTCATCCTATTTTGAAGGCCATAAACTGTGTGTCTCATCTTTCACAGTTCGAGACAAATTGCAGAATTCAGTTCGGCAAGCTTGGCCAAGTCCTCTAAAATCACAGCCTTTTCTTCTTTCCGTTTCCTGGCCTTCTCTTCTGCTTTACGAACACGGCCTTCTAGAGCTTCCATATCACCAAGCTTCAATTTCAGTTCATGATACTCTTCCATCAATCCATCAACCCTCGAGTCACTATCCGGCTCGTCATCAACCCATCGGAAAAAATGGCAACTCTTTTTGTCATCCTACAGAAATGGAAGAGGTGAATCGAGATCAAGTTGGTCGAAACAAAGATTTAAAGGTGGATTTCAACCTACCTTCCAATATGGACAGGAGAAGAACATTCTTCCAGGATTCAAGCTAGTGCGAGATGTATTGATCACACAAGGGGCTTTGTGCACTTTACAACGAATGGTGCCTGTGTTCGTCGAACGGGAAGAAGTGGAACCTTCGTCGGCGTTTTTCGCAGATCTCCTCGACATGTCTCTTTCTTTCTCCCTTCGGCAGCGACAGCGACTTCGGCGGAGGCGGCGGCAGAGGCGAAGGCGGCGGCAGAGGCGAAGGCGGAGGCGGAGGCGCTGGGCTAATCTTTCCTTCTCAACAACATCGTAGGCGGCTGGAGGAAGAGAGGAGAGGATAGGACGAAGAAGATGAAGAATGGGGGTTAGGGCAGGGGTTAGGGTAAACCCGCTGCGTTTTGTGGGATTTTTTTTTTTTTTTTCGTCTTCAAATTAAGAAAATACCTAATAGGTGGAAATTAAATGGGCTAGGTGGTAATTAAATTTTTTTTTTTTTTGCTGAGTTGGCGGTGACATGGCGCGTTGACCGTTAGTCAACGCGTTTGACCGTCGAAGTTAACGGTCAACAGTCTGATTTGGCCAAATTGTTTACTTTGGTGTATAGTTCGGGCCATAATGTTATAGATCTAAAAGATTGGCCAGGATGTTTACTTTGGTCAAAGTTCAGGCCATACGAAAATATTAACCCTAATAATTTTGGAAATCCCATATATATTATGACCTGAATCACGTCGATTCATTTTTTAATCACTATACGTGAAATTCCCGATAATGACTTCAATGAGTTTTAATCGAAATGAGACTTTCTCAATTGGTCCTCGGTAAAGTGGTCAATTTCTTACTTCTTTGTAAAGAGTACCATCGCTAGCGCCCTTCTCTGTCTCCATCAATGGCAGAAGAAAGTGGTCCACTCAAGTGGGAGCCCACTTATCTATAGAATTGATCTTCCAAGGGCCAGTCTGCGAGGGACGAAGTTGCTCGACTGAAAGGAGAGGGACGATCAATCGTATGAAAGCAAAGCATCAACAGAAGAAGCAACATAGGAAGGTGAAGAGCCCCTTTAGGAGCCCTCGACCCGCAATAGATAGAGGAGGATTTATTCAATCACATAGTTTGGGCTCCTAGAATATGGCGCCCTTGGGGCCTGAAAATCGGGATGTCAAGGATACCAATACAGAGTGATCAAAGTATGGCCACCAGACATAACTCATCAGCCTCATGGATGGACACGCTGCGCATTGTGGTCGTTTTCTGCCCGTACCTTATTGCTACCAATTCGACTGATTAGCTGTTTGACCACGTCTGTTCATGGCATTTCCGCTGTCGGTAATAGAGAGCCTTTCAAGTGAATGGTGTTGAAACGCTATAAACTTGAATAAACTATTTTTTTTTCATTTTAAGTCATTATTTAATTTTGTTTGCATAGATAAATCAAATCAATTGTGCTCTCCAAAATTATACCCAATTTGATATATTTTGCCATAAAAAAATTTAGACATTTATTACCAATCTATACTATGATGATAATGCTTGATACTAAATAAAATCATACCACATTGAACAAAAATGTACCATGATGATATGACCATACTAGAGTGTATAATTATCGATAGTAGGAATATACGAATTATTATTTAACAAGATATACTCGTTCCATCTATCACAAAATTTTTGAAATCATAATTAGAATCAAGAAAATAAAAACCAATTAAGAAAAGTTAAAAAAAAAAAGAAAGCAATGCTCATCTAGAGATCTGGGGTTCTTGCCCCCACTCAAACGAAGGGCCAAGATTTGGTTCCTGGTCTGCTCGCTGACACTGAGTGGGACGAATAGAAATATCTTGTCCCGAACCCCGCACCCACGCAAAACAAAAGACCCCTTGGCTTCTCTTTACACTCTAGTCTCTACCTCCAGTCCCGGCCGTCCCAAAACCCAACGGGCATGGTGAACGCCATTGATCCAGACCCCCAAGTTCACCACGGCCACAGCCCAGATTCCTCTCTCCATCATCACTACGCGCCCCGGAAAGGGGATGCCGTGGAGGTCTGCACGGACGAAGAAGGCTTCGTCGGAGCGTGGTTCCCGGCCACCATAAAGTTCTTCTCCAAGAAGCGGAAGAAGAATGCCGTGGTCCGCTATGACACGCTGGTCAGCGACGAAAACAGCCGCATTCCGCTTACGGAGTCGGTCGACCCCGCTTTCGTCCGTCCGGTTCCGCCGCCGCCGCCGGGTAATGACGGAGTGAAATATGCCGTAAACGACGTGGTTGATGCATGGTATAAGGACGGATGGTGGTATGGGGTTGTGAGGAAGGTTCACGAGGGAAATAGGTACAGGGTTTTGTTCGATAACCCGCCGGATGCTATCGATTTTGAAGCCGTGAATCTGAGGGCTCACTTGGACTGGGTTTCCGGGAAGTGGGTTCGACCCAAGAAGAAGGTATCCCTCTCTTCTTTCTCTCTTTTGCTCGTATTTCACAGAACCCTCTGGTAGTTCCCTTTTCCTCGCCGCATGATTTGGGCCTTGATCTGGATGGCTCTGCCTTGCTACATGCAACTTCTGTGTATCTCTTTTCCTTGTGTGTTTCGGTAGAACACTTGGAGGAGGAAATCTCTGTCAATGCATTTGGGTTTAAGCTGTGAATGTAAATTAATCTTTGGGAAATGGTCGGTCTGCCTTTTGTTCTTTTTCGTATCCCTTCTTTGCGTCGCCTTGTGTAAAGGTTGTCGACTCTAAAGTAAGATGTGTTAGCTTTGTTTAATCCAGGCTAATTGTCGTGTTCGTCTTAATTTAAAACTACTTCTTACTCACTTTGTCGTTAGTCTATATTTGACCATCTGCAATTTCGCTGTAGTTTACAACTTCTGTAGTTTGCAGCCACTGATTGTTTTCTTTTTGGTTTTGATGCTTCTTTTAGCGAACGTTGGAAGGGGTTTTTAGCTTGGGAACCGAGGTAGAAGTAAACTTGGATCAAGGGAAAGTGGGTGATGCTTGGTTCCCTGCAATTGTCATCAAACAGAATGGGGACGAAACTTTCTTGGTGAAGCGTGAGAGCTGGAACAGTTGTGATGATGGAGAACCAAAGGTTGACATGCAAGTTGTAGACTCTACTCATATGCGACTCCCTCCTTGCAAACTGCGTTGGGATTATGAGCTGATGGACCCTGTGAATGCTAATATCGACGGGCATTGGCAGAAAGGAAAAATTACACGAGTTTGTATTGGGGGGCGGTACACTGTCCTTTTCCCGCAGAAAAAGGAATACAGGGAATTTAGCTGGTGGAGCTTAAGGCCTGATTTTCAGCGGGATGATGGAGGACGGAAAACTGAATCAAAAGCTGAATCCAAGGTGAAGTTTGTACCATGTATTCATATTATCATATATTGTGTTTGCTTCTGGCCGGTCTTTTGTAATTTTTACCAACAGTTCTAACTTGCTTGATGTTAACCCGTAGTCTGGATTTACAAGCTGAACTGAACAATTGGTTGTTCTGCAGCATTGATATACTTTTTGTGGTCATAAGTGATGAGATTGATTTTTGAGTTTGGGTCCCTGTTTCTTTGTTGTCTGCTCTACTTATTCACTGTACACCAGCTAACACCTAAAAAGCTATGTTCTTATGCCATCATTTCAAATATTTTATTCTCAGGAAATTGTGATTGCTCTGAGAAGTCAAGGAGAGGTGGATTCTCATTATACTGCTGCTAACAATCTTGAACCAGCTGTAACACCTGTTAGCCCTCATCCTTCCAATAATCATCCGAAAGAGAAAACACCTAGCTCCGTTGCCACAAGGATTGTTATGGTGGATGATTCAGCTGTACATGCTAAAAGGTCTGCCTTGGATGACTTGACCTCAAGCAAAAAGAAGAAGTTGAAGCTAGATATTTTCAGTCCGCAGTTACTTCACAAAAACGTAAAGGAAGTGGAAACCAGAGAGGCCTGTTTATCTGCAACAAAGCAGAAGGAAACTTCTTCAGGTCCGGATAAAGAAACTCTTCCTGATCAGATGACTTCAAAGATGCAAAGGGAAAGAGTAACAAAGCCCAAAAGTTCTCTGGATTGCGACCAGCTTTCTGCGGAGACTGTGAGCTTTCTTCTACTTGATACAGAATGATGAGTATAATGTCTTCTTTCTTGTGTATAGGAATGTCACATATTTTCCTTTATTTCTTGCATCTTTTAAGAAGATATCCGGTTCAGAGGTATATAATTGATTACCAGCAGGTTGGATGATGCTCTATATTTTCATTAGATTTTATTATTTAAGCCAATCTATTTTTGATAAAGAATCAGAAGGTACATATGGACTCGACATGAGTGTTTTCCTACATCTTGATGGTTCTCAATTTACTGCATTTTCCTCACTCATGCAGAAGAAAAGACAGGCAAACATCCACAACCTACACTGCCAAAAAGTAGCAATTGTGACCAGCAATGAAGATAGAGATTGTAACCCAGAGGATGATACT